ACTTTTGGTCTTTATTTGTTTTTTTAATTTGTTTGTATATTGATTGTTTGCTCTATTGTTAATAGGAAACAACTTCCAGAAGAGCAGAAGCTTGGGCTGCTGTCAAGAGATCTCTAAACTCTTGTTGTCAGGTGTCTAGAAAGTTATTGCATTTTATGATATCACTTGTGAAGCTAATACAGAATCCTATTCTCATAGTTATCTATTCTATTCAATTTACAGGAAGCAGAGGCAAAAACTGCATCTGCTGAAGACAGAGTGCGGTCTGTGAATGAACGTTTATCTCACACTTTATTGCGAATGAATGTTCTTGAAGCTCAGGTTCTACTTCTGTGGCTTATGTATGTTTTATTTGCTGAAACATTTGTAGATATATGCTTATCCTTTGCTTTGCTTTGCTTCGTTTCAGATTTCATGTCTTAGAGTGGAACAAAAAGCAGGTCCCTTGAGAAAGAGAGACATAGAGCTGCTGAGAATAGACAGGAATACCTTGCAGCAAAGGAGGAAGCTGATACTCAAGAAGCTTGGGCAAATCAGCTTGAGGAGTAAATTAGGGAACTAAGACGAAAACATAAGCAAGAGTTACAAGATGCTCTTCGGCACTGTGAACTTCTACAGCAGGTTGTGCTTTTGATTTATTGTTAGCTTAAAATTACTGTTAATCTCTTTGCATGTTATCTTCCTTTCTTGTGTCTGTAGCTTCAATGAAAACTCTCTTCAATGAATTGCTTTCTTGAATTCTCTTTCCTTTTAACTTTGATGATAAAAAAGAAGACGTCTTGCATTCTTCACATGATTGCAGATAATATAAGTTACATATATAGTTCAGTATTATGAAACTTCTCTCAAATTGAGTTATCTGCTGAAGTTACATTATGCATTTCTTGAGAGTTTATTATGCCTCTATGAACATAGGAACCATTTTAACTGTTAGTACATAGTTTTGATCTTATGGTTCAGCTTACAGAAGGATGCTTTTGATTTATTACACGAAGTAGAAAAGGGAGAAAGCCACTCGGTTAGACTTGGAAAGGACAGCACGTGTGCATTCTACAGCTGTATCTGAGCAAGCCCCAATATCAAGGCATAATTCCACTTTGGAGAACGGTATGATGCTTTGTATTGTGATGTAGTTGATCTTTATGATCTTCTTTACTTTTTGTGTGACTTCTATGCAGGATGCTTGTCCCGGAAACTCTCTACTGCTAGCAGCATAGGAAGCCTGGAGGAAAGCTATTTTCTGCAAGCATCTTTGGACTCATCTGATGGTTTCTATGAAAAGAGAGATATTGGAGAGGCAACATTAAGTCCACTCTACATGAAGAGCACAACACCTAGTGCTTTTGAATCTGCCCTTCGCCAAAAGGAGGGTGAACTTGCATCCTACATGTCACGTTTGGTATGATTTATTCTTTGAGCTCTTGAAGTAAAATATATGTCTCTACATGTTCAAACTTTGTGCTCAACACCGGATATTTCCTGATTTTGAGTTGGGGGTTATATCTTTTTACCATTTAGATAGCCTTTATCAACAAGCTTTGTCTGTTGTTCAATTCAGACTTCTATGGAGTCTATCCGTGACTCTTTAGCCTAGGAGTTAGTCAAAATGACTGCACAGGTGAGTTTTCCGAGTTTTCCATCTGTTGCCTAATTAAATGTGAGTGAGCTTTCATTCATTAATATTCTAGTCTGTTTTTCTCTAGTCATTGCCTTTAACCTAGTCTACATTTGATGCAGTGTGAAAAGTTGAAGGCAGAGGCTGCCACACTGCTAGGATTCCGTGCAGAGCTAGAAGCCTTGAGGCAGAGACACTCTGCTGCTCTGGAGCTAATGGGTGAACGTGATGAGGGTGTGCATGCCTTTTTATTTTGGATTCTTTCTCATTGCTGGTAAACAAAATTTTATATTCAAGGAGATGTAGCTTACAGATGTGAATTTGATGTATGGTATCACTAGATCATAACCATATGACCTTTGCTTAAATAAATATTATGATGAAAATGAATGTTCGTAATCAATAGTAATTTGAATATCATGTCTGATTGAGTTGCTGTGTTTGACTCTTTCTGGTTCACTCAAAGTAAAATGAGAATATTATGTGTTATTATTTAAGTGGTTGCATCTATCCAGCTGGAGGAACTCCGAGCTGATATTGTAGACTTGAAGGAAATGTACAGAGAGCAAGTAAACTTGCTTGTGAATAAGGTATTTTTTTATTTCAAATGTTTTTCATGATGTTTTTTATTTATTTAATTTTTTTTACTGGTTCTACTATTTATGCTAAAAGCTACCTGTCTGTGTTTGACAGATCCAAATGAGTTCTTTGGTTGGTAACACTGCGTAAGCTAATTATTTTTTTTTCGGGGGTAACTCCTAGGCATGATGTGCATGGTATAGTCATAACAGAACTAGTTCAAGGTGTGTGCTTTTGTGCAAGCATTTGGTTCGTGAGATATTCCAGGGGGCATACCCTTGTCAAACTCGAATGTATTCTTGTTGTATAGATTAAATCTTCATGTTAAAAATCTGTTTTCAGCCAATTTGAAATTTGATTCTTTTTTTTCTTTTGCCTAATTTTTTAATACATTATTTGTAATAAAGAGGATGATTTTTTTTTTCCCATAAATTCATTGTTCCTATATTTCGCACATGCATTCTTTCTAAATTATGACTGAAAACGTGGTTTTGGTACATCAAGGCGGATAGGATGAAAGCCCAAGCCCTTTTGCAACTTATTTTCATTGTGATTTCGCTGATGCTGGTTCAGGCATCAGTCACAAATCCTGCTTCATATCCTACCCATTTAGTATTTCTAATATAGATATTTGCAAGAAAACTGTGACTTTCAATTAGGAAAGTACTCTTGACCTTTCTTAATTTTTTTAATTTTTATAGTTTGCTTATAGATGTTTGAACAATGAAAAAAAATACATTTATCACTGAAACAAATGTTAGATAAAGTCCTTTGACCATTGATCTAAAATCTCCTGTGCATTTAGCCCAAAGTAGAGAATAATGAAGGATGGTAGTATTTTTCCAAGAGAGTAGCTCAAAACACTTAATCTTCTTCGTCGTATTTGTAAGGATGACTGAACAAGAAAGTTTCAAACTAAGAACCTCATAAACCATCGGCTGAATTGAACAAGGCCAGTTAAGCAGTAAATAATGGGCTCTGACCTACTTCGTTTGTGGAAGGTTAAGGATCATTTGCAGTATTTTGTGGTTGTGGTCTCATATTTATTATGGGAAAGAATACAAGTATTCCATTTAAAGGCCATCAGAACCCGAACCTATCATAGAAGAGGCCAGGCCTTGTCCCTAGCAAACCACTTTTAACGCTTCCATATCATATGGTAAACGAGCCGTGGGTAGCTTTCAAAATTGTTCTTTTCTAACAATGTAACCATATAAGTTTGATTTTCAAAAAGCCAATTCCTAATTATAAACAGGAAAAAAAAAAAATGGAAATAGGAGCTTACCTCTATAAAGCACTAATTCCACTTTCAGTTGAACGGTGAACTTGATAGTTTTAAATATGATATAAAAATAATATATAAAATATATATAAAAACAATATAATTCAAAATTTTAATAAAAATTATATATGAATTCGTTAAAAATAAATAAATAAATATTTTATTATATCAACTCAAATTATAATACAATAATTTTTTAATTTTATAAATATTTAACATGAAATAAATATGATCTAAAATTTTTTTTTGTGTGCATCACTGACTAAATTGTTTGTTAGATTTAATTAGCAGTGATTGCTTTGTGGTATTTTTCTAGTATCTTTTCTGGGTTCTACCATGCAAAGCATGGTTTACCCCTATATCTTTGGTATCATTATCTTGCTCCATCTTGATAAACACCTGTTTTTCCCAATTCTAATCTATCTATTTATAGCTAAAGTCTAGAATTACATGTGGAGAGAAATATCCAAACGATTTGTTGAGAGGTCAGTTTTTCTGATTGATGCCTGTAAATGCTATAACCCTGTAACCACATCAATCATGATCATCCAAGAGGGGGTGTGAAAAGAGTTTTCATTTCCCTTTTGTTAAGTTCCACTTGCTCCAAACATCCAATGCCCAATAATTATGGAATTAGGACAGATTACATCTTAGTAACACCAATGGCAATGAAGGGAAAAAGAAGGTATTTAGAAAGCCCAGAAAGGTTTTCAGCTCTAAATCAAGAGCATACCTTTTAATCTTCTGTTTGGACTTTGGTGAATCTGGAATGTCAGGTTCATGGGATGGGAATATGCTCAAAGATATTACAAAAAGGAAACAATTGGTAATGTTGATATTCATTCTCCCACGAAAAAATTGATATGGAAGTTGACATTTCGCTGGCTAACTGTAAAAATGAAGGAAACCAAATGTTAAAACTTTCTATTTTTCTTTGCTTCTTTAGTTTGCCCCCAAAAGTATATCTGATTAGAAAAGGAGTAAAATTTTTCTATTGCCAACTTTGCGAACAGGTAACCCTCCTTGTCTCCTTTTATTTATCAATATAGATTAAAAATGTAAAGCAGAAAAAATTAACAATAGCAAAATAATCTTTTTTTTTTATATTTAAAATTATCAAAATTTAAATTTTAATATTTTATTAATAAATTACGTATTTGGTAAAATAGTTTTGTTTTAATTATTTTTTGATAAAATTCAAATGATGATTCTAATTTATCATTTATTTTTCAATAAATTCAATTTTATTATTTTATTATTTGATTTAATTTAAAATCTTCAGGAGTATAGGAATGTTTTGCAAAAATTAACAAATTTTTTAGTATGTCATTTAGTAATTGAAAAGGACATCCGAGGTGAAAGATCTGAATTCCAACCCTCCCCCCTCCCCCCCTCACCCCTTCTCCACGCTGAGTTGATTTAGACAGACCAACAATTTTGAAAAAAAAAAAAAAAATTTTCTAATTTGTAACTAAATAAAAATAAGTCATATTTATTTCCACGTGTCAACAGCAAAAGCAGTTTCAGAAATGAAACATCTGGCACCTCAAAAAGAACCAGATCTTCCCTCCCTCCGTACGCACAGGTGTTCGTCTCCTAGCTTCCAACCACAACAACAACAACAACTATGCTTGCCTTCTCAGTTCTCTCTTTCTTCAAAATTAAAAAAAAAAATTAAAATCATAAGTACCAGATGCGCACGATAGCATTGAGAACTGGGTCGTTTTTATTTTTTTTGTTTTTGAAGATTTCTTCGAAAAATGCGTAGATTTCCTTGTCTTCAGTTGAAAAACCTGACGATTACGAATTCTGACACTTTTCCAGAAAGGATAAAAAAAAAAAAAAGGAAAAAAGAGAGAGTGACAGTGCGTGTGTTAGCAACAATTACCAGTCACCTTTCTTCCAGGCTCATTTTAGCCACCTGTCTGTTTCCTTTCTTTTTGTTTTCCTGTCGTTTCGCCATTTCTGATTTCTCTCTTATTATCTCTCATTTCAAGCTCTCTTATCTTAATTAATTCTAGAATCGCCATTATCGGGCATTTTCAAAGCTCATGCTCTCATTTTCTAATTACAGGTATTTAGTACTTCCTTATACGACGTCCCGTTTCTCTATATATACACCCATGCTTCTCTATCTTTAAATTCTCTGCTTTTTGGAACTAAAAAATAGTTTGCTTTCCACTTTTCTTCTTCGTCTTCTTCTTCTTCTCCTTGAATCTGATTGTTTCTTTCAATGCTGAACCCAAAAAATGGTGAGTTCTTGAAGTTTTGATCTTTCAAAAACGCTGTCGTTCTTCAGCTAAATCCACTTCTGTTCTTTCTCTTGATCCTTCAAAACGAGTAACGCTTCCTTAGATTTATCTTTGTTATTTCAGGCAAACTGTTCAATGCAACAGATCTATAGTCAAATAATATGTTTTAATTTCTGATTTCTGTTAATCTCTCTATGCAGTCCTTTGGCTTACATTATTACACGATTAAATAATAAATTCGGATGATTTAATTTGATTAATTAATATATAATTTTTCTTTGATTTGATTTTGCAGTTGACACCAGAAAGTTTTGTATATATTTCTGGGAAGGGAGTTTATAATAACGTGGCAATGCGGGGACGATACGTTGATGCCAATTCCATATACAAGCGTAGTACCAGAGACAATACTATCAATGCCTATGACAAAGAACAAGGTTCAGGTATTCTTCATGTTACTTCATTCTTTTTTTTTTTTTTTTATTATTATTATTATTATTATTATTATTATTATTATTTCCTTAATGGGTATTAAAAAAGGTTAATTTTGGTTGATGTCATGAATTTATTTATGAGGCATGTAAACAAAGGTTTTTTATTATTAATTTATCTTTTGATTTAGGGGCTGAAGATAATAAAATGGTTAGTAGTGAGGAAGCAATTTATAACCATTTTAAAAAATAGAAGTCGTGTGAAGTTGAAAGCTTTGTTTTTGCTTTGTTTTGTGCTTTTTTATTTATGGGTTTTAGTACCTCATTGCTTGCATGCGTTTTGCTCCAAATTTGGAATGGCTTGAAATCCTCTTTTTAACCCATAAATTTATAGTTTATAAGCATTTTGTGAATAAAAGTTGTCTTTATTAGTTTCAATAGTACAAAGTACTGACAGTTTGCTGATTCTTTATGTGGTTTTTAAGTACGTTTGCCGAATGGAGTGGGCAAAGATATTGGAAACCCTTCTTGGCAGAGATCATTCCCGCATATACTCGTGGCAACCTTGTCTTCCTTCTTATTTGGTTACCGTCTAGGGTGTGTTCCTTTCGGGAATTACTTTCTTTTTCTTTTTTGTATTTCTGTAAATTCTGGAGATAATATATTCTTAATGCTTGCTATTGATATTGCAGAGTGGTTAATGAAACGCTCGAAAATATTTCACATGACCTTGGTTTTCATGGGAATACCATGGCCGAAGGTACTGGTGCAATGAATTGTTGTTCTTGTCTTATTTCAGTAATTTCTCTTAATGTTGTCTTTTGTTGAAATCTAGGTCTGGTTGTAAGCACATGTTTAGGGGGTGCCTTTGTTGGATCTCTGTTCAGTGCTTTGATTGCAGATGGGGTTGGGCGTTGGAGGGCATTCCAGCTATGTGCTTTATCTATGATAATTGGATCTTCAATGAGGTAATTGCAATATTTTTTCATCTACTATCGTTTTGCTTAAATGCTTTTCTATGATGGGGTCCCTGAGCAATTTTGTTGAGAGATATTGAGTCCCTCCTGCCTTTATCTTTTAGTTCTCATAAAGCAAATTAAATTATAGAGAATAAGTTAGAGGTTTTCTTTGGCATCATGCTTGCAGTCTTGTAAATTGATAATCTTAATAAAGTTCCACATTTTGCATACTTATATAATTCCAAAAATAATCTTGCAGTGCAACAGCAAAAAACCTTTGGGGCATGCTTCTAGGGAGGTTATTTGTTGGGACTGGGATGGGTATTGGTCCACCTGTTGCAGCTCTTTATGTGACAGAGGTATCTAAAAGATGATTAATATACTAGTTTTCTGTGATATTGTAGGTCTTCTTCTCTTCTTTCCCTTTTTTAACGTAGTAATTTGATCCATGCACAGGTTTCTCCAGCTTATGTAAGAGGTACATATGGAAGCTGCACTCAAATTGCCAAATGCCTGGGATTGATGGGTGCTCTATTTATTGGATGCCCTGCTAAGGAAACTGAGGGTTGGTAAGAAATGCTGAATGGATTACTAGTAGCTTTGAAAATGATAATTACCAAAATGGTTATTTTAATCGGTTGTTTATGGTTATTTGAAGCAAATTTTATGATGGCACCACCATCAGAACAACATATTTTAACGACTTAGGATTTTGCTTTGCTGACACATAAATTGTTAATATTTCATAACTTGATGATGTTCACAGGTGGCGTATTTGCTTCTGGGCATCTGCTGTTCCTGCTACTATACTTGCTCTTTTTATGGAGTTTTCTGCCGAGAGTCCCCATTGGCTTTTCAAGGTCATTTTCTCTCCCTTCATATTCAGTAATAATAATTTTACTTCCTCTACATGTTCACTATTTGTTAAGTTTCATCTTGCCCTAATAAAATTTATATCCGGGTAGAGAGATGCAAATGTTATTAAAAATTACACAAAAGAAAAAGAAAATTCAAATTATGTTCACTATTGTTAAATTCTCTGGAACTGTGAGCGGTTAGCTTTACTCATAATGATGCATTAGCACTATCACTTAGATATTCAAGTAAGATCTTATAAGCATCTATGATGCAAGTGCTCTAGGTGTTGAGACAGGACAATGGAATCATTATATTGTTTTAAACAGACTCTTTTGAGGCTGAAATTTTATTGTGATTGACTATAGGAGAATATGACATACTAATAGGGAAAGCTAAGTTCATTTCTGACTTGTGGATTATGCTGATTGCCACTATATCCTAACATCATCTCTTCTTAGGAATCTCACCTATTTTTCCCAATATATGCTTGTTACTCCTTTATCTATTAAGCAAAAAAAAAAAAAAAAGATATTAGCAGTTTGATATCCTTTCTCTTTGTTTATCTTCAAGTAACCTTTTCTCAGTAGACTAGACTCTTATAAGCTTTATAAACATTCTTCAGAGAGGAAGAGGTGCTGAAGCTGAAGCTGAGTTTGAGAAACTTTTGGGAGGACCTTATGTCAAAGGTGAAATGGCTGAATTGTCAAAGTCAGAGAGAGGGGATGAGATAGATACAGTCAAGTTCTTAGAGCTACTTTATGGCCATCATCATAAAGGTGAACGTGCTAATAATTTTCAGTAAGATTTGTAAGTCATAGTATCTATACTTTTCTTTCTAAATGATTACTTGTCAACTTCCCCATTTGCAGTTGTTTTCATTGGGTCTACCCTTTTTGCTTTACAACAGCTCTCTGGTATAAATGCTGTTTTCTATTTCTCGTCGACTGTCTTTAAAAGTGCTGGCAAACATTTGTGTGGGAATTGCCAATTTGTTAGGTATAAATGTCTACATTAACAAGTATCCAACTTGTGCATCATGGTGGAGTGTTTCTTTAATTGTGCTGTTTATACATCTTCAGGATCATTTGTTGCATTGTTTTTTATGGATAAACTGGGGAGGAAGGTACTCCTCATTGGAAGTTTTTCAGGCATGGTAAGGAAGAAAACATTTTGCTGGTCTTTTACTGTTTGGTGCATGCTAGCAGTATATATATGGTAATAAATCCTGATATGATTATGTTCTGTAGCTGTGTATGGTGTTTATAATTTGGCATCTAATTGTTGAATTTGGAATTTCTGGACCAGGATGGTTACATAGCATAGTAGATAAATAATATCTTACATGAGAAAGTATGAGACATATGTGGACTTGGTTGGACCTTCAAAATCCATATCCTTTCTGGCAATTTAGAAGAGCAGTTAGTTATTGTTCTGCAACATTACCTGATACTATAGACTAGGTTAAAGCTGCTTGCTGTTGCCATTGACGAGAGGATAAGAACTTACAAATTCAGAAAATATAGGTGCATTGCTAGAGTATGAGATTCCTAGAGGATATTTGTATAGCTGATTGTGCTAATATTGTGGTATAAATTTTCTGTTTGTTAGACTTGAATCTAACAATTTTCAGATTGTGCTGATGTTGTGGAACTTATTTTCTGACTGTTAGACTTGAACCTAACAATTTGTATCATGTTTAATACAATTTTGACACTTTATTCGATCTTTGTTTTATGCTCTCGTGTTTCAGGTAGTGGCAATGGGTCTTCAGGCAACTTCAGCTAGTTCCTTAGTCTCGAGCAGCAATGAAGTTTATCTCTCTGTTGGAGGCATGCTGTTGTAAGTTGTTAATCCTTTGAACATCAAGATGTTTCTTTCTAGAGTGGAGATAAGCTTATTAAACCCTTCAGGCTTAGTGTCACTTTGGATATTTAAAATTTCCTCTTTATTCATCATGAGATGATGGATATCTGGCTATTGAATGCATTACAAGTTGCCACCTGAAAAAAATGCATCTTAGGGCATGAATGGGATATGTGTCGTATAAGCCGCTTAATGTAATTTTTTCTAATTCAGTGAGGTGCCATAGACTGTGTCTAAGGTGACTTTATTACTGACTTTTATGAAGGCTATTAAAAAAATCTATGTTTAGCAACTTCATTTTGTTGTGTGGCATTCTCCTAGCACAAACTTGATGATGTGATAATGCAGGTTTGTCTTGACCTTTGCGTCTGATGCTGGACCAGTCCCTGGTCTCCTCCTATCAGAAATGTTTCCTGGTCGGATTAGGGCAAAGGCAATGTCAGTTTGCATGGCTGTCCATTGGGTAACTAGTTTTAACTCCTCTTCATCTTAACATCTTGGTGCTAGACGGGGGGTTTTATTTCTTTGCTTATTTTCTTCAAGTTAATCAAGTTAAATTGCGTGAATAGATTGTTAGGGTACCTCAATCTATTGTGGTTTTTTTTTTTTTTTTTTTTTTTGTAGTTTTTGTGAAAAGTAGTGCTTGTTGGTTATATAGTGGAAGCATTATATTAAATCTAGAGGTCTCCTTGGATAGTTTGCTAATATTCTCCTAGTAGAGAAGCTTTTGTGATTTTGGTGGTGGGCTTTTTTCTTTGTTTTGACTCCTAAATGTGCAGACAAGCGTACACGATTGTTGCAAATGAAATTAGTATTAAGATGGATGGTGAACAGGAACTTGACCCTTGGGCAATCTCTCTCTTTTGTTTGTCCTGTTTTCCTTTTCTTTAACTTTGTGAACCTCCCGTGACTTTGGTTTTTGTAACAGGTGATAAATTTCTGTGTTGGTCTGTTGTTCTTGTGGTTACTGGAGCAGATTGGACCATTTGTCCTGAATACAATTTTTGCCACCTTTTGTTTGCTAGCGGTAATTTTCGTGAAGAAAAATGTGTTGGAAACTAAAGGAAAATCACTTCAAGAGATTGAAATTGCACTTCTTCCACCAGAATAGAGGTATATCAGTTTCATCTCATTCTCTGAACCATGTAAACATAGTATATTAAAGCAAATATTTAGCTATCTGAACTTTAGTTTAAATTAGTATTGTTGATAAAACTTGAAAGCAAAAAAACTTTTACATTCACATGTCAATAATTGAATAAATTTTTTTTGTCTAAAGTATGCATGCTTTTAAGATTGGGGAAGAAATTGAAATAAAATTAAATTAGGTATAAAATACTAATTAAAAATTTTGCCCAACTTCACTCAAGAAAGCATAAAAAAGGCAAGTATTGACTGTCATTTTTAGTTGTTTGAGTTGACCATATGAACAAAATTTTTGGTAAAGTAAGTAGATGCTAAATATAACTGAGTAAATGGTGAGTTCTTTTAAATAAATTGTATACCATTGATGAGTCAATGGAATAATAATATAGCACACAATATGATCAAAAGTTTTGCAGCATGTTTTATCTTGTCATAGTACCATTCCATATAGGAATTTAAATGAATCGAACGTAAAATAATAAATACGTGTTTGTGATTTGTTCAAATATTTTAAAGTTTATTTGGGTTCAGTTTATGTTCAATAACAAAATTGTATATTACATTCAAACTTGTTCGTTTAAATAGTAAAATATTTAAAATTAATTTATGTTTAATTCGTTTAATTTAAACGAATTTATTTATAAATATTAAACGAATATTTTTATAAATATATATATATAAATAAATATGTTTATAAATAATAAATAAATATATTTATGATCAATAAATAAGTCATAACCAAACATGTAATAGGGTTTCAGCTAAAGATTAAAAGTAAATATATAACATTGTTATTATTATATTATTGTTCCGAATAATAAATGAACAATAATATTTAATGAGTTTTAAATTATCATTAGATGAGTTTTTTCGTTAACATAAACAATTTAAACATATTTTTGTTTGTGTTGGATTATTTTATAAATAAAAATAAATCAACAAAAAAAATCAAATATATTTACGATGTGATTCGGAAAAAACAGGCTTTGGGCACTGGGACATGCTGACAAACGGATACAGGAGCAAAGTCCTCGGGTTGGGCTTCCTACACAACTCATTACGAACGAGACTAAAAAAAAAAAAATATATATATATATATATATATATAGATTAAACATTAAACATATAAAAATAGGAAAGGCAATTCTCTAAACTATAATAAAATATTTAGTATAATAGATGAATTTTAAACATTTTTATTATAGTATATTAATTATAAATTTATTAATTAATATAATATTTTTATAGATTTATTTGTTTTTCATATATTTTGGAGTTAATTACCTTAAAAATAAAAAAATAAAAAATATATTAATTAATAGATTCATAATTCATACATTATTAAAATTTTAAAGTTCAAATATTATATTTAATATTTTAATATAATTTAGAAACCATTTATAACATTAACCCAAAATAAAATAATTGAATTAAACCATCAACGAAATAAGCAAACTAAAAAAACGGGTTTTTCTTTAAAAAGATATTTAAAAAAAAAAAAAAACTATCCAATACCCTCGAAGTAAGTCATTTTTGACACATAGATTCAAGGAGACAAAAGGCAATACTCAATCAAAAAATTGGTCTAGTAATGGTAAACTGAAAACATCATTAACGTTTAATCATAGTTTAAAAACAAGTTTAAGTTTTATTAAACAAAATATAACTTTTCCAAAATAAATTAAATTTTTTAGCAAATACTAGAAATAATGAAATTTATAGCCAATAGAAGGATTGAAAACAAAATATTTCAAAGAAAAACATTAGTTTTGCCAATGCATTTTATTCCTCAACTAACTTTATACATATAGATTGTATATGTTTATAGCACAAAAACTGTAAGAACTAAATGTAATAAAATTATATTCGCTGAGATTATTTTTTATTTTTAAATCATATTTTAAATATGAAAGAATTAGATACATGTTTCGTTGTGGAATTATTTTTATTTTTTAAAATTATGTTTTAAATATAAAAGAAGTAAAATTTTTATATCAAGTTTTAATAGATGATAACATAAAGACAAATATAAATGTAATTGTTTTTTAACATAAATTATAACTTAATTATATATAAATATATATTTATTAAATTAAGGTATTAAATAATATTTTTATTAATATGATATATAAATATAAATTAAATAAATAATTAAAAATATATTTTTATATATCCTAAGGAGGGTCGAAGCAAAGTAACCCAAATCCGAATCCGATTTGATCCAATTATTTAAAAAGATAAAATTTAATACAATTGTTATTAGAGATGTAAATAGATAAAATATGAGAGGGTAGAGCATTCTCCATTCCTATTCTCTGATTTTTATATTATATCATTTTTCATACTTATATTTAATGGGTATTTTAAATTTATTCTTATCTTTATTCTCACGAGTATTTAATAGGCATAAGTAATCTTTATACCCATAACTTTTTAAAAATAAAACTAAAATTTGTTTTTTAACTTTTTTTTTTTTTTGTCTTATATATTTAGGTAAATTTTTATAAATAAATATTAATATATATATTTTTAATAAAAATATATTAATTTTAATTAATCTAAAAAATAATTTATATTATTTAATAAAAAAATCTATTTACTAAATATATATACAAATATATGTAAAGTATAGGTATAGGATGAATCTTATATTACACATCCCCATTATTGTACCCAATGAAAATTTAAAATTATATCTATTTATATTTTCATATCCATAATATAATATCTATTTCCATCTCAATTAGAGTAAAAAATTAGGTTTTTCATTGAGTATTGATAAAATTGACATCCTTAATTATTATTTTTTAAAAAAATCTTATAGAGTTGTTTTGTTATTCTTATTGTCATTATTTTTTTCTTACATAATTTATCTTAAAAATAAAAAAAAACAAATAAGTTAAATGAAAAAATTAAAAAAATAAAAAATCTAATAAAAATAAAGTAGAAAAACAAATAAAACAAAAAAAATAAAAACATTTAAAAAATAACAAAAATACCACGTGAACACCCACAGCTATGATATCTTTATAACTTTTATAATTTTTATTATATGAATTAGAATACTGTTATTTTTCAAGTCATATTATAGGTTTAAATTAATTATTATATTTTTGTGAATTTACTATTCACTTTCGAATTGACAACTATTAATTTTGAGATTTGAATATTGAGCGTTAAGATTTTCCCCTCTTAACTCTCTTTGTTTCGTAATTATTTTAACTTATTTTACACCTATTTTATTCCTAATTATTCGCTTTTGAATTTGTTTTTAGACATTTTTAGATAACATTTGATATCTTTTGTAAGGTTATCATAATAATGTAATTATAAAAGTGATTTTATTATTAAGATAATTTAATAATTTTATTATTAAAGTGATCTTAATGCTCATGTTTTGAAATCATTTTATTTGGTTAACAATAATTAATTCTTAAAAATTCAAGATCATTGTGTTTGGTATTACAAAAATTTAAATATTATTTTATTTAAAAGTATGAAAATAATCATGTATATTATAATAATTACATAAATTAATAATTTTAAGGTTGTTTAAAAAAATAATTTGTAAAATATTAATAATATTATTTATTTTATAATAAAATGTAATTAAATTATTAAATTAATAAATATATTTATTGATAGGTAAATTGATTTTATAATATACATTATGTAAAAAATATTTGAATTAAAAAATAAAATCTATATATTAAATTCATAATGAAAGAAAAACCAAAAAAAATTATATTATATAAAAATATTAAAAAAATAAAAAATACGTTAATTAGTTTTAAACTTTTTACAATGAATATTAATTTGAAAATATAAAATAATTATAATTTTAAGATGCAATGAGTTTTTAATTTATTTATTAAATAGATAAAATTGATGATTGTTAATTTTACTTATCATTTTATCTTAATAATAAAAGTTTTTTACTCTTTTTATATAAAAATTAGATCGTTATCCAAGACGATGATATAATTACTTGCAATATAAAATCATCGGACACATTTGGCATGGTGCTAGAACCCTGTTTAGAAATGTTTTTGTCGGTATTGATCCAGATTTGGATGCTCAAGTGGAATTTGGAGCATTCCAAAAACTTCGAGATCCAACTACAAGAAGACAAGTAGTCTGATGCAAGATTGCTTTGTTATTTTTCGTTTTATTTTTTGTGAGTGTTTATCAAATAAAACGATCTAATTATCATGTATAAATTATTTTGATTTTTAAAATGGTTATTTCATACCAAACATTATCTTAATGAAAATTTTTTAATTTCATCAAAGAAATTAAAAGATTGACGATGTTTTATTTACTTTTAATTAATTTTATTTTTTAAATATATCCAAAGGTATATAATTCTACTAATTTAATTTATGAAATTTAAAAATTCTAGTAACAAATAATTTTTAAAAACTCTACCTTACAAATAATTTCTCATTCATCATTATTTAACTTTTAAAAATTAAGAAATTTCATTTTGTATTAAAATTTTAATTTTATTTTATAAAAATGATGTATTATGATAAAAATTAAAAATAAAAAATCATAAAATAGTTTTAAAATAGTATCAGAAAAGGTTTTTAAAAAAATCACCATATTTGCTAAATCAGTAATTAACATGCACATGCCAGCTTATACTTTTTTCTCTTTTTTTGATTGTCACGTCCTTTTTAAACAAAACTTAAATGAAACTTTTTAAATGAAGTTTATAAAATTTTTTCTTAAAAATAATTTAATAAAAATTTTAATAAAAAATTTAAATTAATAATTAATAAATTTTAATATAAAAATCAATAATATGAAAAAAAATTATTAAAAAAATTATTTATAATTTAAATTTAATCGATATTTATTTAACGATAAAATTTTATCAATATTTTTATTAAAAATATCTATCTTAAATTATATATAAAAATTTATTCAAATTTTATACACTTAATTTATATAATAAAAATTTTTAATCTATCAATTTTTATTTTTTTATTATTTTTTGAATTTTTAATAAAAAACTTAACAAATTTCACAAAAAAAACCTTGTCTAAATCATTTCTATCCAAGTTTCATAGCAAGTTTCTCCGTCAAAAAGTTTCAAAGGGAAACAGAGCTTAAACCCCGCTCAAAACCCTTTGATAAGCTAAACCTTTTATCCAAATCGCAAGTGCTAAAATTGATCACCAGTCCCCGAGTTAAGCCAACAAGGTATTCTCTTTTGTTTTGGTTCTCCTTCTTCTTAGTATTCTATGCTTTCTTTTTGTCCCGTTTGGGGATCCAGAAAATATGGAAAATGGAAATGAAAACTGAAAAAAATCTGAGAATTTTTAGTTGATGCAAATGCCAAACAAAAAGAAACCCATTTGCTGCATTCTAACTAAGAGAGTGAAAAGCCTCTTTTTTTTATTGTTAGAAATGGAAAAGTTATTAGCTTCAGTTGAAAGACGTCTGTTTGCTTGACATCAAATCTACCCTTTTTAAAGTGAATTTATAATTTTTTTTTGAGTTTTTGAATGTGGGTTAAACTAAATCATTCGATTAAAAGAAGAGGCTTAAGAAAAAGCGTGTTAGTTTATAATGTTTTCTGTTTCCTTTTCCTCAAGCAAAGTGTTTGATAAAATGCTTCACTGATGAAAAAGAAAGGCTGAGCAAATTCTAATGTTGCTGATATTTTTATCTTCTGGGTGTTTTTTATTTTTTGGAGACTGCAGTATTATATTGACAATGGAAAACAAAGATAATGAGGTGAAGAAGGCACAAGTTGTGGAAGCCAGGGCAAGAAATATCAGCCACAATGTGCGATGTACAGAGTGTGGGAGTCAGTCCATTGAAGATTCACAAGCGGATATTGCAATTCTCCTCAGAAAGGTAAAATATTTTTATTCTCTTCCGAATGGTCATGTAAAGAGCCAAGTTATTTCTTTCAGCATAGGCAATTAGATGAATTCAGTGCTTGTTAACAAATTGTGGACGTTATAATCTCATTTAAATAAAAAAATTACTTCATTTCTTGTTAGAATTTATCACTGAAATTGTTTTCAAACCTCTAATTCTACTATTATACACTTGGACTTTTCTGAGAGTGATGGGATTGATTGATCAAATTTTCGTAATCATGGTGAAATTGTTACTTGAATTGAAATAGTAGTTTGTGGGTTAATGGCTTGCTTTTCAGATCTTTTTTCTTGTCATATTTTGCGAAACTCCTGTCCATAGATCTCCAATTGGACCATTTCTTATTGTGTGTGTTAATGAACTTCTGCATGTTAAAATATTTCTAAAACTCATAACCTTCTTTCCTCCATGAAACTCTAGTGCTGCTGCATCTACCCTATCTTTACTGTGAATAATTAAAACTATGAACTGTCTTTTTTACTGCAAAATCAACCATTTGCTAACTTTCTCCTCTGAAGATATCCTTGTTATGTTCCTTTAACACTTGGTGTTTCAATGCTCTTGTTCTCTTGCTGCATCATTTTTTGTTTGTCTATACTTCTATGGTTAAATGAGAAACTTTCAACCTTTATTTTGTTAATGCAGTTAATTCGTGATGAGATTCAAGCTGGAAAGAGTGACAAAGAGATTTATAAAAAGCTTGAAGAAGACTATGGAGAGACAGTACTTTATGCCCCTAAGTTTGATTTGCAGACTGCAGCCTTGTGGCTATCACCAGTCAGTTCAAGATCTTAGGACTGTCTGATGTTAATTATAATCTTTTCCTGTGTTTAATAGTTAAACTAAAATAGAAGGTTTTTGGGGACAGCTTCTTGTTGCAGGTGCCGCTACAGGGGTGTGGGCTTACAAGAGGCACAGGCAGAAGACTAACGTGCACATAATGGCTTTGAACCTTGTTAGAGGTGTTCCATTGACCCCAAAGGAGAAGGAAACTATGCTAGACCTCCTCACACCTCCTCCAATGCAAGGAGTCACTCCTTCCTCCTTGTGGAGGAGGTGGCGAGGTCAATGATGTTTTTCAATTTTCTGTCTCCTTTTTACTAGACCTCAAAGTTTGTTTTGATGGTGAAGAATCTACATGTCGATGAGAGTTTCATGGTTGGTTGATGTGAAATTCAGTGCTGTAGTAAAAAAATAATTGCACAGTGAAGATAAAGCTTAGTGAGAAGATTGTCCAGTTTAGAGAACTCGTTTCCATTTCACATCCTGTATTCGAATTTCTGAAAGGTATTTAGTTAATTAATAGTACTTTGTTTTATTGAAATTAGAAAATCTAAACGTTTTGTTAGTTCCATAATGTGATTCTTTAACATGTATTTGTTTCAAAACTTTAAAGTTTTTAATAATTCATTGGCTTGTTCCCACGCAAAGTTTTATCGTACCCTCTTCACAACTGCTACATGCTGGTAACCTTCATCTCTTTAATGTTTTGGTCGGTCGGTCCGTTTAGCAAACCTTTGTGAGTTTTCACGAGCGGCAGTTGGTGGGTGCCCTTACAGCTTGCCTTGCATAAAAGGAAGGGTGGATGGAGAATTTCTTCAAAACACGATCACTATTTTTACTCTTATTATTATATCCCTTTGAGTTTAAATAAATAATTAATTTGTGAAATCATTTCAACTATTTGGCAAACCATTCTGCTCCTTTTACATTTTCACTCAAGCATATACATTATAATCGTTCATAAATGCACGTACAATAAATTTGAAACAAAGTAAATGAATGTATGATGTAACTTGACTATGACAACGCATTTAAGTTTTAGAGAATTTGTCAATTGAAAAAAATATAATATGATATTATATGCAACAAAAGATATCAAAATAAATAAAATAAAATAAAATAAAAAATTGAATTTTTACTTCATGATAATTTTTTAGTTATCATTTTTAAAAATTATTTTTTGAACTATAAATTAATTTTTTATTGAATATTTTTACTGATTTTAAAATTTAAAATTTAAAATTTAAAATATGATGATAAATATATTTGAAAATTATAAATATCTATATAAACAATAAAAGCAGTCCGCATTTGTTAACATAATCACAAATAATCAATATTGTAGAAAAAGTCGCATAAGTAATTTCGAAATAAAGTAGTTTCAAGAAACTTATAGATCTTCAAGATTTTATTGTTGAAAAAAAACAAGATTAAAGCTTTTGGATCCAAAAGCTTCTTAAGACAAATAATAATGAAAAAAGAGAAAGAGAAAAGAAAGTAAAAGAGAACGATGAGAAGAAATGAGAGGTTGAATAAGAGGAAGAACGAAAATGCAAGTTGGGCTGTAGAGGTCAAGTATCTCCTCGTCAATTGATGTTTAAAAGGAATTGAAAGAAAAGAATATGTAAAAAAGGTAAAAAAAAGATTTTCTCTCTGATTTTGTTATAGTTGGCAAATCTTTTTGATTTTTTATAGTTAGGTTCTAAAATTGTTTCTAACATGGTTGATTTTTGAAATTTTTTAGCTGTTAGTTTTTTTTTTTCTTTCTATTGTTAGTATTGTCAAAGGGATTGCATAGATTTTGAAGGTTGCCAATTGATAGAGGAATTTTCTACCTTGGTCACTAGCATGCTTAAGAACCTATTGAATAATAGCATATAATTTTTAACACTTTATTGTAAGCTTTTTTTGATATTAAAAATTATAAATACTTACTAAATATAATACATGAGTTAGTGGACCACCAAGATAAGTTCTTAGAAATTGTTATTACAGAAAATTCATAAGATGATCGAATCGATCATACAACTGCTGAAATTTTGCATGCTCTTGCTCCATTCTAGCACGTTCTTTCTCAATTTTGGCATGCTCCTATTCTCTTTTTGCTTCCATTTGCTAGAAATATTGTTGCATAGTTTGTAACTCCTCTCTCAATATTGAAATGTTTTGCGAAGACTGACTTACTGAGAATGTAAATTGCTGAAAGCTACGTCCATAATAGGTAAATAATGTTGGACCCATTCCAAGGCCTCGGACTCGTCCATGCCTTTTTTTTCCATCAACTTCTATGAATATTCGATTTTTCAATTCTTGCATGTTGAGAGAACCATCAGATGCTACTTCAATCTCAGCAGCTACTTTCTCTTTCGCTTTCTCCTGTAAATTAGTCATATACAACTATCGAATTTAATGATTAATTGATAATATGTTAAAAAAAGTAAATATTTACTTTTTATTAGAATAGATGTTATAAATTACCACAGTTTCTTATGTTTCAACATTCATGTAAGATCTATATTTTTTTATGTGTGTTAAGCAAAAAAGTTTCACACGTCTAATTTTACCGTCCATCTCAATCTCTTATACAAAAACATATGTTATTTGATAGGATACATATCAATTGTAACTTATTCATGCATATCAAGCTTGTCAATCAAGTTTAAAATTTTCAAATAATTTTAATATCATGTATTTATATTTTGGCCCCTTAACAACAAAATAGTCTTAAACAGATGCAAACAATAAAAGCATCTTGGCCTTTCACACATATCGATCATGGCAACCAAATCAATTATTTGGACAAGTTTAATATCATGGATTGAAGCCATTCGAACTGTTGAAAGCCATCAAAAAGTTTAATTTGTACTTGTGCCTTTTCAAGGTAAAAATAGTCCAAATAGACATAAACGATAACTTTTTCACCTATATCAACTATAGAAACCAAGTTCAATCAATCGAACAAGTTTAATATCAATTATTGAAGCTATCCAAACTGTTTAAATAGAACAATAACAACAAATTTGTATTTTTACCTAAACAGATGTAAACAATAACTTTTTCATATATATCATTCATGTCAACTAAGTTCAAAACTTTTGACAAGTTTAATATCATGTATTGAAACTATCAAAACTATTAAAAAGAACAATAACTGTTAATTTGCATATTTATCTTTTAACGACACAAAAAGTTCATTCATTGGAATAAGTTTAAAATCACAAACTTACTATTCCTTTTTGCTTTCTTGCAAAACTTTTTGATTCAATTGTGTGGCTATATTTCTGTTGCTTTCTGCTACCAATCCCTATCTGTTCTTTTTCTTGTCATACAAAATAATTATGTACATGGTAGAAATACAAATATTATCAACTTAAAGCATAAAACACTTTTATTATTTCATTCTACTATACAAAGTTATAAATTAGTACCTCTCCTTTTCTTGATAACCAAAATCTAACTAATTGTTCATATTGCCACCTAATCACATTACATAATAGATTTTCTATCATTCCCTCTACAATAGTATTTCGATTGAAATACTTATTCTTCAAATTATGCTTATAATCTTTTTATTTCTTACCCTATGACTTAAGCATAAATGAAGTTGATATTTTAAGTACAAATCTTGACTGTAATAATACAAAAAAGAGTTTTAATCAATAAACCAAATTTAAAATAATTAATTTTTATATATAATTAATTACACTAATACCTCAATAAAGTTTAAAACATCGGCCTTAACTTTTACGGGAACTTTATGCTATGTTTCATAATGAATAGGCAATTTCATTCCATTATGGGAAAGCATGCTTAGAAATCTAGCTAACAGTTGAGCCTCTTCACCAATTGGTTACCTATCAGAGTTTGCAAACAATACAATACGCTCGTTCGGAGGTAATGCAAACAATTCTTTCAAAGTTGTCCGGCCTCTGGTCCTCCGTTGACCATTGTTATCAACTGTAAAAAATAAAAAATAAAATTGTAAAATGGCAATACTTTTATCATTATAATCAAATTCTAAATATGGGGTATATGATACCTGCTTTCAAATTTAAAGCATAATCAATTAACGGGATACTATCTAAACCTGGACTTCTCGTTATCAGATCCAATATCAGTTAAAAGGTTAGAAGTGACTGAGTTAGATCTGACAGTACATTTATTCCCCTCCAAAGGATTTAGTCCATAGCCAATATCAACAGGTGCCACGGATGGTTCTAAACTAATATCACTGATATATATTTCTTTTAATCTACTTCTACGTATTATAGCTTACTTGCATCAGAAAACGAATATATAAAAGATATTAGTTTAGAACATATATAAAGACATTGAAAAGTTAAGAAATCATAACTTACGATATATAAAGAACATATCGATTTAATTAAATCAAAAGATAATATATGATTTACAATACAATAAATATACAATAGCGAATGTGACATTAATTACATACAATCATTTACTATATTATGTCTTAAATACTCGAATTACAAAATATAGATGATCCATCATGGTTCATAAATATCTTCATTAACATCTTTGTAGACCCATTGAGCATAGGCACTGGAGATATTTTCATCCAAGTTTTGTTCAGCAAAAGGATAACATTCAGTTTCATGTTTAACATCATCTCTTGTATCTAACCTCATATCAAATAAATCTCTAGGTATGTTTCGAAAAATAACAAACCAACCCAATTCTTTGGGATTTTCAGAATAAAAAACTTGTTTGACTTGAGATGAAAAAACATAAAGTTCATCGATGAGTTGTTGTTCAGTGTGAATTAATCGAAAAAAATTTACAAGTGTAAATCCATATTGATCTTTCTTAATACCCCTTGCACTATTCACATAAGCTCAATCACATCGAAATAAGATAACTTTTCACTTGCCATAATAATCCAACTTAATTATGTTATTAATCATGCCATAATAGTCGACATTTCACTCTAAAGGGTTTGTGTCCCTAGCACTAGCATAGCTAGTAGTTGATGAAGTAAAAACAATGCTTGAATTTTATGTACTTCTAAATCTCTCATGAGATTTAGTGTGAAATCTAAATCCATTGATGATGAAACCTTTGTATCATTTCACAATTCTGTTCGGATCTTGTGAAAGAAACTTCATCTCTTCACTAACAAGCTTTTCGCTTCAAACCTATAAAAGTGGAATAAATATATATATGTTATTAATGATAGTTATACCGTAAGCATTCTATGTAGATTTCTCATAATGAAAAGTATGGCATTACTTATAGTTGCTCCTAACCATTCATGAAAGTTTTCGACGAATAACTTATCAAGCTCTCAAGGGTTTGATCGTCAATAATGTACAGGATAAAGTATTAATAATAATAAAAAATACAATAAATTATGATTAATGTAATGAACAATTTCCTTGCTAAAAAACTTAGGTGCGAAACGATTCAATAGAGTCATGATGAAAAAGAATATATCGATGTGCTTGTGCCCAAGATTTATCATTTAACTCCACCATTTCAGCTTTGCCTATTGGTTGTCTAAAACTTTGAAAAAGATAACTATAGGCATAGTTAGTATGCTGCATACCAACATTTTTCGATAGTTTATTAAATTTGATTTCAACATCTTCTAAATAACGAGAACAAAATATTATACACTCTTTTGCTAAATATCTTCA